CCCACAGATGCATAGTTCATTTTCCACGTAGTAGTGAATAAAGTTGAAATTCTGACTCATTCTCAAGAAGTCTGTCCTTACCGTTACTGAAGCAGGCAGACAGGGACTGCCTGACCCAGGTAGCTTCAGTAGATATAAGAAGAGCCCAAGCACTCTGCCCCACTACTCTGCCACAGTGCTTTAAAGTCGCTTTATCAACTTATTTGTATTAATGCCTTTTTTTTCCTATCAAGATGTATCAACTGTTTCCCTTGTAACAGTAAGTAATTCTCACAAGTTGGAGAAGTTTCCATTGACTTACCAATGATTTTTCTGAGGCACATCTTCTAGACTATTTGGGTAAATAGAAGGCAGGCCTGGACGCCTAGGGTAGAGCAAACAACCCGGGCCAGTGGATAAAACCTTTCTGAACCAAGATGCCTAGGAACAGATCCTGTTCAGTGTTAAGTAGTGGTCGCCTGTACCACCATTTCGTCATTTAGGTAAGAAAAGATGTTACCAAGAGAACCTGCCTGCTCGGTGGGGCAGTGAATAATGGAGCCAATTCGCAGCATGTGGGCAAGGCATAAGGTGAGCCCTTTACAAATGTTCGTTTCTGTTCCTATTTGGGAGGAGGACAGAAGACTTTGTCCTGGGTACCATTTTACTATCTGCTTCTCCTTTCCTAAGGTCCGCGTGAAGTTGACATAGTCCAGGGAGGATAAGCAGCTTACCCAAGGATAGGAGGACCTCCGAAGGAAGAAGCTAAGAAGGGATTTGACCAAGAGGATGAGATCAGGAGAATCAGTCAGCTGTAGCATGTGTCCAGTGGGAAGATTAAGGAGCTCAGACCCTTGTGAACTTTCCCCTGAGAGACAATTCCACGTCTTCTCTCGGGTGTGCATGGTTGTGAAAACAAATGCCACCTTCTGACACAGATTCCCGCCCGGCCCCTTCCACCCGGCCCGGCGCCTGGGCGTACCCCTTCAATCTGGCACGGAGCATCAACCCGCTGCCTGGCTGGGGAGGCCGAGTCAACAGCGAGGTGGATGGGAAAAGTGACACAATCGGGACCCGTCGCCCGGAACGCCAGACTCCCACGCCGCGCGGGGCAGCCTCGGGCCCTCCGGGGGTGTGGTGCTGGTTGGTGCTGGTGGCGGCGGCGGCGTGGCTGCGGTCTCCCCGGCCGCGCGCGCGCGCGCCAGCAACACTCCAGGCCCCGCGTAGCCGAGGCCCGGGCCTGGGCGGCCGAGGCTCACTTTTCAGGAACGCCGTGGTTGTGCGGCGGTAGCCCGGCCGGCTCTCCGAGCAGCCGCCGCCCCCCAGAGATCCATGATGGAGTCTTGAAAGACTATCACCAAATATGGGCCGGGGCTGGAAACGTCCTGCGCCGCGCGCCGCCGGAAACCTCCGGTCTTGGCAACGCGGGCTGGACGCACGCAGGCCGGGCGGCCGGCAGGGGGCGGCGGGGGCGGCGGCCGCGGCAGCAGGCGCCGGCAGTGCTCGCGCGTCTCCGGCCGACCCTGGTGGCCCCCCGGCCCGCGTCCTCTCGCCCGCGTCCCTCCTTGCCTGCAGGCTCCGCGGGGATGCTGGGCCGAGAGGGCCCCACCTGGTATCTGCCACTCAGTTCCTTGCTGTCGGGGCCACCAGAATCCTGGCTTTCCGGGGCGCCCCGGGAGATCACTATCCCGGCATGGGTGGTACTTATGACAGTGAAAAGGGGGGCAGGCAGGGGAAAGGAGATGGCTCAGGGGTGCTCACGGAAAGCTGTCCTCTTGCAGAGACTACATACATTGTTCATTAAAGTGGCCATAAAAAAAAAAGTTGAGTTGTGGGACTGAGTGTGCAGGCTGATCCTGGGGACACACGTACACAGACAGCTAGTACAGGCTAGGGGCGTCCGGGGTAGAGGGTGTCAGGGTGTGACCCCCCCCCCCCCGCCTCCCAGCTAGCAACACCATCACCTAAGGACTTGTTCAAAGGTAACGAATCTGAACTCTAGGGCGGGGCCTAGCAATCCCACTTTCAACCAACCCTCCAGGTATTTGTGTTGCACGCCCCTAAGTTAGAACCAGTGGACCTAGGGGTGGGGAGCCGGAGTAGCCGAGTATGGGGTTCTGACTCGGCTCAGTTGCTGCCTGACAGTGAAACCTTTGAGTGACCTACAGTTCATTGGTAGCTGTTAGTGAAAGGTTCCCCATAACTCAGCCCCAAGCTAGGAGCTGCAGGGGACACGCAGCCCCTTCTCCGTGGTTTGTAGCCCCAGTGAAACTAGGTGGTCCGTTACCCCCTCCTTCCTGCCCCCATATAGCGTTAGAGAGACAAGCAGAGAGTAGACTTAGTACCCGAAGCAACACTTACCCACACCATTTGCATATTTCTCTTCCTATCTGTGAACCGATCAGCAGCACTCAGCCTGCGGCGAGAAGGCGACTGGACGTCTGGGGTCTCCAGGCCATTCCGGGGCTGGACGCGAGGAGCCACTATTTCGTTTGCCCAAACAAAGCAGGACAGAGCACAAGCAAGACGGCTACACCAACTTCTCCGGTTCCCCTCACTCCAGGAACTGTAGCTCCCGCTTCCCACCCCCTCCCACCCCACATCCTTTGCTTTCCACGGGCTGCTGACGGGAAAGTTCTCTTAAATTTCGTCTCCAAGATTCCCCAGTTGAAATCCAAAAGAACAAAACCTGCACACTCTCATTAGAAAGCTTTAATCTGATTTTTAAAGGAATCTCTGGAATGGCCTGCCTGTTTAAACGCTGTGCAGAGACTGGACCTCTCTGTCTCTCCATCCATCCCCCCCAACCATAGAGAAACAAGGTGTATGCCATCTGTGCAATTTTATTTTAAATCCTGATAGATTGCGTGAAAAACAAGGAATTCCAAAGAATTTCATGCTCTGGGAACAGAAGTTAAGTCTATATTTAACAACATTTGAAGCTGTCAAGAATGCTTTGTGGTTGGATAACAGAGGCAGAAAAATGTTAAAAACGCAGGCTACTGCTATACCCAAATATGGAAATATTGTTACGTCTGGTGTCTGATTCACCATCTGGAAATACTTACAACCATGAAGTCAAATAGAAAGGACGCCACAACAGCAGCCAGGAACCCTCCTCTCTCTCCCCCTCACTCCCTCTCCCCCCCTCCTCTGTATTTGTGTGTGTATTTCTCCATCACCTCTTCCATTGAACTCTCCTTCTCACTCCCTCTCCCCCCCATTTGTGTGTCTATTTCTCCATCACCTCTTCCCCCTCAGTGCTTTGTACATAGCCTACTCTCCTTGAGCCCCCAAGGACACAATGAACCTCTAAGGCAGGGAGGAAAATGAAAATGTGTTCTCATAGATGAAATAGCTTGACTAAGGGATAGGGCCCAGACTTTTCTCCCTTTATTTGCATAACACCTGACAATCCATTGTCTAGAAAAGTCCCCACCCCCTCTTTGAGACTTCTGGAAGGTCACTTTTGAATGAATGAACTTCACTCTCCCCTCCATTGGAGTTTTTGTCCCACTAGGTCTTTATTGTGCTCATCAGAATCTTTCACAGAAAAATCAGCATCAAGGCCTTCTTAAGCCAGACTTTTAAAATTTAGAAAATTAGGCTGTATGTATTAAAAAAGGAAGAATAGCTATTCCAGAGCACATAAAAAATGGAACCTGATGCAATTATTTGTTTTATTAATTAAAATGACCAAGGCAGATCAGTGTCTTTTTTCTTTTCAAGGGAAGTTTATCAATTACACTATTGGTGATGTTCACGTAATTTGCTTTTGTAAGAGATCTGTGTGCCTTGCATGTAGAGCTGTATCTTAAACATCGCTTTGCATTTTTATTCAACAAGTCTACACTCTAAACTCCTATTTCTTCACGTGGGGAGAAAGGCATTGCAATTCACTTATTGAAATGGAAGGCTTCCAAGTGGTCCCAAGGAAAGGATTTAACAGACCCCTGCAAAACTTCCAGCTTTAAGGAGTCTCCTTTTTCCTGACATCTACCGGGCCAATGGTACTAACTGGAGTGTGTTTGGGTCTGGCAGTGTTCGCAGGTGGTGAGTTCAGGCCAAATCACTGCACTGGCGGTCCCCTGGTCTTCTGGCTCGAGTTCGGCCGAGCAAGGCTGGGAGGGCTTACCCTCTCTCCCGCATCCGTGAGGAAGTGTAAGTCAGCCTCCCGGAGAACTCCCTGCGCTCGTTTCCTCTAGGACTTCCAACTCAGGCAGTGGGCTGGAACTAAAGTGGGAACCTCCAAAAACAAACAAGCACAACATACCAAAAAAGGGAGGCGGTGGTGGGGGAAGACCTCGGCCTGGGACTGTGCCAGACCCTGAAGGAAGTTGATCACCCTTCCCCCACCCCCTCTCATTCATAAATGCCACCGTGGGTATTAATTTGCAATACACTTAACTTGGCTAATAAACATCATACCAGAGCTTTGGGACTTGATCCGAGCATGCCTCTTTGAAGTCCACAAATAGATTCTTGGCTTAGAGTGACCGACTCCCCCTCCCCGTTGGGCTCTCCATAGATCACTTGAATCTCACCTTCCCAGTAAACACGCAAACAATCTGCTTTCCCGAGGGAGGGGTTCGGTGGCTGCCCGGTCAGCTGGGCATCACCACACAAAACGACTTTTGTTCCTCCTTCTCAGGTCCTCCCACCTTCCCAGTCCAGGCAAAGGTCTGAATAACATCTTCTCCCCCTGCCCCCCTACGACGACCCTTCGATCACCATCGCGTCTCAAACTTCCCTCCCTAGTGGAAGCCGTTAAAGTGGAAAAAACGCACTGTTTTCTCTATGGGTCCGAGGCCAAAAAAGAAAAAAAGAAAAAGAAGAAGAAGAAGAAAAAAAAAGGTGCAATGGAGCCAGGGGAGGTGCTTGGCAGCAGCCCGCGCCAACCAACATTCCTGAGATGTTTGAGAATTCTGGAACGCGCAGACAGAGCCGACGTCACTGCAACACGCGGCGCCGCCGCTGGCCGGCATATAAAGGCGGGCCCGGGGCGCCTGGGCAGACCGCGATCGAGAGCGTCCTGGAGCAGCTCCCGTGCCTTCCGCGCCTCCTGTGTGCCAGGACCCCAAGAGAAGGACGCCCGCAGCCGCTCTCCGCCTGGCTCTTCGCCTCTCTGTCCACCCGGCCCTCCGCCCCGCGGCTCCGATCCATCTGCTCGGGGCCTGTCCGCTGCGCGCCGGCTTCTGGCTGTCTTGGCCACCGCGCTCTCCCCGGTTCCTCCTGCGCGCCACAATGAGCTCCAGCACCGCCAGGACGCTCGCCGTCACCGTCACCCTTCTCCACTTGACCAGGCTGGTGAGTTGGACCTTTGGGCCACCGCTTTTCTGTCCACTCTCGAATCCCCTTCCTTTGGCTCACGTTATCCATGGCAGGAAACGCTAGGTTAAAAAGTTTGGGGCGGAGGGAAGGGGGCCTTTTGGATGTAGCTGTTTCTTTAAGCACCCCCTCCCCCGAGAAATGGAGGGGGGGGATGTAAGTGGGGACTCTCAGTGGGTTGCAGCCGCCAGGGTGGCCAGGCCGGCTGGACGCGATCAGAATCTCCCTGTCCACACGAGTCGAGGGACCCCGGTCTTTTCCTCGAGCCACTTTGGCGCCTCTTCTCACCCGCACCGACACTCACGCGTTTCTTCTCCCGCTTTCCAGGCTCTCTCCACCTGCCCTGCCGCCTGCCACTGCCCCCTGGAGGCACCGAAGTGCGCCCCGGGCGTCGGGCTGGTCCGGGACGGCTGCGGCTGCTGTAAAGTTTGCGCCAAGCAACTCAACGAAGACTGCAGCAAGATGCAGCCTTGCGACCACACCAAGGGGCTGGAATGCAATTTCGGCGCCAGTTCCACCGCTCTGAAGGGGATCTGCAGAGGTAAGATGCTTGCGGCTTGGCCCCTTTAAAAAAATAATAGTCCCCATAGTCCAGAAGTTTAGTAATTTTGAGACCATGTATGGTGATGCTTTGTTGTTGGTAGCTTGGCAGAAAGGCACATGATTTCAGCAGTCTGGAATGCAATTCAGTGTGTCTGGGCCCAACGAAAAGCGCATACGGAAAAGTGATTCCTGACTAACTTATTGTTCTGGTCTGGAGTCTCTCGGGAGAATTGTTAGGGAACTTTACCATACATTGAATTTTAATAGCAGGAAAAAAAATATGTATGCGTCCAAGGCCCTGCTTGGGACTCTTCACTTCATGCTCTTTCTCTTTCGATGATCTTTGCAGCTCAGTCAGAGGGCAGACCCTGTGAATATAACTCCAGAATCTACCAGAACGGGGAAAGCTTCCAACCCAACTGTAAACATCAGTGCACATGTATCGATGGCGCCGTGGGCTGCCTGCCGCTCTGTCCCGAAGAACTCTCTCTCCCCAACTTGGGCTGCCCCAACCCCCGCTTGGTGAAAGTGGCCGGGCAGTGCTGTGAGCAGTGGGTGTGTGACGAGGTTGGTGCCTTGGACGACCAGGACGACCAGGACGATCGCGATGGCCTGGAGGACCTCCTCAGCCAGGGGCTGGGCTTCGACGCTTCCGAGCTGGAGTTAACGAGAAACAATGAATTAATTGCGGTTGGGAAAGGCAGCTCGCTGAAGCGGCTCCCTGGTAAGTAGGGACGGAACCCTGCGGAGCAAGTCCTGAAATGCTTTCCTAGTTAGAAGTTTTTGTAGAAATGAACGTGTATGCCCGCGGGCCTCTGAACGGTCTTCCTTTCTGTCTCTGTCTGTAGTCTTCAGCATGGAACCTCGGATCCTTTACAACAACCCTGTGCATGGCCAGAAATGTATCGTTCAAACAACTTCATGGTCCCAGTGCTCCAAGACCTGTGGAACTGGTATGTCCACACGAGTCACCAATGACAACCCTGAATGCCGCCTGGTGAAAGAAACCCGGATTTGTGAAGTGAGGCCTTGTGGACAATCCGTGTACAGCAGCCTGAAAGTAAGTTTCTTTGGGGACCTGTACATTGATCCCCAGCAAGTAGGCAGGATAAGGACCCCCTTTCAGAAAGAAAGAAAGAAAGAGAGAAAGCCCATTCCTCATATTCTTTTTTTCCCCCTTCCCTCTTTCTTGCAGAAGGGCAAGAAATGCAGTAAAACCAAGAAATCTCCCGAACCAGTCAGGTTTACTTATGCTGGATGTACCAGTGTGAAGAAATACCGGCCCAAGTACTGTGGCTCCTGTGTGGATGGCCGGTGCTGCACACCCCAGCAGACCAGGACGGTGAAGATGAGGTTCCGCTGCGAAGATGGGGAGACATTTTCCAAGAACGTCATGATGATACAGTCCTGCAGATGCAACTACAACTGCCCGCAGGCCAACGAGGCAGCGATTCCTTTCTACAGGCTATTCAACGACATACACAAATTTAGGGACTAAATGCTATCTGGGTTACTGGCAGGATGGAAAGGAGGAGAGAGGTGTGTGAGAGGATCACGGAGACATGGGTGGGGGCGGTGGGGTGAAGGGACTCATTGTAGAAGGAATACCTTGCTCATTCTTGGAATGGCATGAAGTATTTCCAAACTGCTAAGGGGGCTGGTGGGATGGACACTTAATGCAACCGCGATTGAAGAATACTTCGCTTCATAGTATTGGAGCACATGTTACTGCTTCATTTTGGAGCTCGTGGTGTTGATTGATGACTTTCTGTTTTCTGTTTGTAAATTATTTGCTAAACATATTTTTTTCCCTCTAGGCTTTTGTTTCCCCCTTTGATTTCTGTGATTGTAATAGAGATAAGACTAGTTGGGCAGTGAACGCTTTGTTTGTTGTATGTCAGGAGTAACTGGAAGGGCCTTCCATCCCTTCCAGAATGGGGGAGACACTCTGTGAGTGTCCCAGAGAGGCAGCTACCTGCACTCTTAACTGCAAACAGAAATCAGGTGTTTTAAGACTGAATGTTTTATTTATCAAAATGTAGCTTCCGGGGAGGGAGGGGAAATGTAATACTGGAATAATTTGTAAATGATTTTAATTTTATATTCAGTGAAAAGAATTTATTTATGGAATTAATCATTTAATAAAGAAATATTTACCTAATATCAGTGTATGCTATTCAGTATTTTTAGAAACTATCTGAAGTTATTAGGAACAGTGTGGTTCCAATAAATCCAACAGGATTTTTCAAGTGCTTAGCAGGTGTCAGGAACTATTCTAGGTACCTACATAGCAGTGAGCTAACTTCTGAAAGAAAATTGCATAATAATTGCCTTTAAATTTTTTTAAGAGAAAAATTGCTTATAAGGCCATCTAATTGATAGACAGGTATTGAGCTGGGCACCAGTGGCTCACTCTTGTAATCCTAGCTATTCAGGGGGATGAGATCTGAGGATCATGGTTCAAGGCCAGCCCAGGCAGAAAAGTCTGTGAGACTCTTACCTCCAGTAAACTACTCAGAAAAGTCCAGATGTGGCACTGTGGCTCAACTGGTAGAGCACTAAGAGGCTCAGGGACAGAACCCAAGCCCTAAGTTCAGGCTCCAGGACTGGTTTGTGGGGTTTTTTTTGTTTTTGTTTTTGTTTTTTAATTTAAAGACAGGCATTGAGTATAAGCATTGTGTGAAGGATACAAGAAAGAAGCTGAAACTCAATTTGTGATTTCAATTGAATACAATGCTTTACTTTCATAAGAATTCAAAGTTTAAAGTCTCCACTCTGTAAGCAAGGTGTGGTAAGTCATTATGAAAATATGTCCTATGCCTGCCCACCTCTAAATCCATGGGAAAGATGGACTACAATTGAAGAGTATATTATAAAAGATTGCTTGTGGAAAACTTTATATTTTTCCAATATCATTCTTAAGAAATAAGACAGCTACTTAAAATTCACCCTTGATTGGTATTAGAGACAAAGATCTCAAGATCTATGGGAGTCTGGTTTCAATAGATGAGTTTGAAGCAAGGATTTGTGTTAATCTTAATAAGCTGATGATGCAAAGGAATGCGAGGAATTTCAAGTACTTTTCCAATAGCTGATTCAGAACCCAGCCACCCCACCCCCTTTCTTTTTATAATATACATTATATTGATGGGAGAGGGAGCAGTTTGATAGAGCTGGCTCTCCAGAAGGTCAAAGGCTAGACACAGAGCATTCCTAAAAGAAAAGGACTCAGCCAAAGGTCTAGGAGAGGTGGAGAAGGCTCCATCAATGTTTGTGCAAATGGTAGTAGCCTGTGTTAGAAAAATCTACATCTTTAGAAAACACTAACAATAAACCTTTTATAGAGAGTTTTCCTTTCACATCAATCCTGGCTCCTGTTCAAATCCATAGTGAGATATTTCAGCCTGCACTTGGTGAAGAGAGTACTTGAATTTTTTTAGCCACAAGAAGAAAATGCTTGAAGAATGGGGGAGGAGGCCAGCTCCTGGGATTCTGTAGGACATTTTTCAAAACAAATTAATACTGATGCTCTCAGGAAGACTTTCAGAAAAAACATTACTTAAGCATCTGTTTTATGCCTTATGAAATCATAGAGGAATACGTATACCCTCTTCTGCTAGGAATACCTATACTGTCTCTGTTTTGAACAATATCTTGACTGAAACACCACAAGTTGTAACTTTCAGAATAACCAGTTGTTCTCACCTCAGGAACTTAAACTTAGAATATTCTTGGGTTAAAATACCATCTGGCTCAATCCTAGGTGCAGTTAAACTTGCCATTGCAACACAACATGTGAAACATAATAAAGGTGTGAGGTTTTTGTGGTGCAATGTTGTTGAACAGACACTGAAATCTAGGCAAGATTTATACATTCCCAAGCACCAGTCTAAGGTTATTGCTTTCCAACTCTTAGTGCCAACAAATTGCTTCTCATGCTGAGACCTAGAAGCTATATTTTATACATTGTTTAAGTGTGTGGGCAGGTAATATTTTTCCCAAATTAGCTCAGATATGAAACAAAATCTACTATAGGAAAACATTGGATCTTTGAGTCAATTTAGTCTCATCCCAGTAAATAAAACGCAGGTAACTGCCAAGTGCCAAATCTATTTATAGTAGGAGTGCTCGATTAGTTAAAATAAAAGAGGAAAAATAGCCGGGGGCCAGTGGCTCATGCCTGTAATCCTAGCTACTAAGGAGGCTGAGATCCGAGGATCATGGTTCAAAGCCAGCCCAGGCAGGTAAGTCCATGAGACTCTTATCTCCAATAAACCACTCAGAAAACTGGAAGTGGCACTGTGGCTCAAGTGGTAGAGTGTTAGCCTTGAGCTGAAGAGCTGAGGGACAGCACCCAGGCCCAGGGTTCAAGCCCCATGACCGACCAAAAAAATAAAATAAAATAAAGGAAAAATAAAGTAGAAGTGAATGTCCATTTGTGTAGCTATAGAAAATACTGAAAAATTAAAAGTAATTGATAGTAAAATTATAACATTTAGAACATATCTGTGCCTGGAATGGAGCTCTGCCTACTTCAACTAGTGAGAAAGCAAAACTCATGCAGCAAGCATTCTGTAAAATATAATGTATATAACCCCAACATCATTGCCAAGCACAATCTATATAGATATTTGGTTGTTCTGACTTTCCAATTCTGGTATGTCTATTGGGTAGAAATTTAACAACTAAGGTTTCTAGGAGGACTCAGAATCTCAGGCATTCTGTGAATTCTAAGAAAAACTCTAGGAGACATTTGTGGTCCAGTAAGTGGTCCTAATGTGATGATGTCTCACGTGAACATTATGTACTGTCCACTCCACAAAGGGACACAAGAGAGTCAAAATTAGCAAAGCATATTTTAGGGTTATTTTTTCCAGTAGTTGGAACATATTTTCTCTATTCACTATGTCTTCTCCCAGTCTTCTGGCACTATTTGAAAGTCGGTTGAGCAATAGCATGAGTTCAATATGACCACAGTAGAGTAGAGCTGTGTCCTGGGCAAAATGGCAGGTAATTCGGGGGGGGGGGAGGGGAAGCTCACACCGGAATCAAGAGACCTGTCTTTTATGATACCAGTTCTGCCCTTATGTTACCAGGGAACTCTGGGGAAAATTCTGGATCATTCTCTTATATGTTAATGTGGAAAAGAAACCACTTACAGTGTTTTTGTCAATTTTTTTTTAATTTATGTACTCTTTGGTGTGGTGAATTTCATGCTTTACAAAGTGTCTCCTCAAGTATAGGGAGAAATTCCCAGATCTTTCTGTGGTCAAATGTACTCATATCCATGAAGTCTTTGAAATGATAATGCTCTTTACCCTCCAAAGCACCCTGGATTACAGGCGTCCGTCCCTGCAATATCTCTGTTGACAGGTACATACTTGTAACTCACTGAATAGCTCTCATATCTGTGCTGCATTAAGTCCTTGACATAAAGACAGATGCTTTAAGAACAGAACACATATTGCAGCCTGACAATGATGCATGTATCCCAGGAATAAATTATATGCATTTGTGCAAATTTCATCAGTGCTGGGTAATACTCACTGCAATCTTGTAAAATACAATTCACTTAACAATTACTCAGATACATTCATTAGTTCTTTGTAGTTCTGCGTATTTTGTTCCTATAGTCTTCTGAATCCACCCCTTTTTCTGCTCCAGTGCAAATGTCCACATCTAAGCCACCACCATTGCCTAAATTACTGAAGTGGCTTCTTCACTCATAATATACTATACTTTCAGAGGTGGCTTTGATGGTATTTCTCACTGCACTTGACCTTCTGTAATGTGACCCTTTGCTCGATAATCAATAGTTATGGTCTATTTCTCCACCTTCCCAAATGTGGGTAAGTCTTTGACTGCTTTGATCAATAAATACAGAGGAGGGGCTGGGAAGGTGGCTCAGTGGTAGAGTGCTTGCCTCACATGCATGAACCCCTGGGTTCGATTCCTCAGTACTACATAAGCAGAAAAGGCTGGAAGTGGCACCGTGGTTCAAGTGGTAGAGCTAGTGCTAGCCTTGAGCTGAATAGCTCAGGGACAGCACCCAGGCCTAGAGTTCAAGCCCCATGACAGACCCTTCCCCCAATTTTTTTTTTAAATACAGAGGAAAAAATGCAATGTGATGGCAGGTCCAAGTGGAGCTCTAGATAGGAGCTCTTACCCCTTTTCTCTTGGAAACAAGCATCCTTGATAACAGCAGGCTGTGAGAAGCCCAAATCCACGATGTAAGCCCTGGAGGAAAACTTGCCCTGTGGGGAATGAGAAGGATCAGGTAGCATGAGGACATAATGTTTGCATATTGGAAACCATCTTGGAAGTAGATCCTCTAGCTTCAATCATATTGGCTAATATTTCCTGAACTGCTCCATTGTGTCCTTTCACCTGATCCAAAAGGTAGTGAAAAAAGTAATGTGGCAATCTGGAGGTGGTAAGTTTGGAGCTTGATTATGCATCAATACAAAACCAAAACATCATTTGTTTCCATTCTTGTCCTCCAACAACCCATTCTCCTAACAGGAACCCAAATAACTCTTTTAAAATGTAAATCAGAATATGTCAATCCTCGGCTTAAAGGCTCTAATGGCTTCTTGTTAGTCTTGGAATAAGGTTCAGCTTCTTTTCTGGCACACAAGTCCTGGCACTTGCCTACCTGTTACCAGGCACCCACATGCACTATAGTTCCAATGGCCTGTGCCATTTCCTTAGAAAAAAGCCAAGCAAGTTGCTCCCAGGTCCTTTTGCATTCACTTTTCTCTGCCTGAGCAAGAATCCTTCCCCAGTAGATCTCAACACAAATGCTATCTTCCTTAAAACTTCCTCACTATCCAGCTAAAGTACTTCATTACATCAAGAACTTTGATTTTCATCACATCCTCAGTACTGCCTGATAAGTTCATATATCAATATGAACACACATATATATAAGAATTATTTAACATATATATTGTTCCCTTTCCAGAATAAATTCTATAAGAGCAGAAAATTTTGCCTGTCTTTTTTTTAGCCACCATGAAAGCATGCCTGGCATAAAATCCATGCTTATGAATATAAAAAATAAATGTTAAAACTAAATCAGGGAACGGTCCCTCCATGGCCCCAAACCTTTCTTATCTTAGTTCATCTTGAATTTTTCCCAACCCAAGGGTTAAT